GCCACGTTGTTCCAGATAAAATATACAATAAATACGAATACAAGAAACGATAGTAAGTGACTTCTTGGAACATACATTTATTAGCAACCAATATTGCTCTCTCCTTCAGGGTTGACAAACGTATCACTATGTACAAAACAACTATTGTATATACACTAAATGGTCATGCAAATCACTGACAAATGACATTTTCTTTATCATAATTATTTGCTTTTTTCCAGCAGTAGCAATAAATATATCAACAATTTGCGTTTTCTAAAGCGCTTAAAACAGTTGCAGCCAGGTTAAATTCAAAACCACCGTGACTTGCATGATCAATTTTTTGCTTTCAGACACTAAATCGCTTTGAACTGAAGCTGAAAATGCAAGGTCATCTCTTATAGCGCGCAATGGTTATGAGTCTACAACATGCCTACCTTGCTCTTACCACTGCAGCAATAGTTTGAATTTCACTAACTTCGCTGTAGTTGTGAACTTGATTTTCACTTTTTTACTTCATAATTTGTTTAGTACTATAAGTATTTTTGGTTGGCGTTATTTTTTTAAAATTTTTTGTTGCAATTATGTCAATGAGAAAAAACCTTATGTTCAGTTGTACAGACAGAGTAAGTCTATTTATCTTTCTTTTTATTATTTGTTTACAGGTAAATTTAACTGGTTAGCCAGAAGACCTGTTATAATGCTGTACTGTTTTTTTAGCAAACGTAAGTATTATGTGTTATTCATTATAAGTTTTGAAGACATGGAATCGAGGCAATAAATTCAACGTCTTTAGTAAATTTAACTAAGGTTTTAAAATGTATTCACCAATGACGTACCTTGTTATTTTACAGTTATATGGGCCTGTATCTTCTTTCCTGTCAATGCTCATGCATTCGTTCGAGGTAAGGACACACTATTAAGTATTCAATTAAACTAACAATTTAGAAAAAAAAATTCTGTTGTTGCTAAAGCTTTTGCTGTTGCTGGTGATAAAGATTTATTTTTTGGTAATGTTATTGGTTATTCATACTGGTATTTATTTTCTCCGCAAGGGGATATATGTTTTCAGTCGTGTAAGTTTGTGGGTGTGCGTGTGGGCATGTGTGTATGTGGGGTGGGTGTTGATGTGTGTGTGTGTGTGTGTGCGTAACATTTTGGTGTTTTCGTGTGGCTTTTTGTGTGCGACATATCTCAAAAACTGCTGCACAGACATAATTGAAAACAGCAGGGAGGGTTAAGTATAAAGAAATGTGGAAATGATTAAAGTTTTGGGACGGTCTGTAATATAGTGTGGATGTGAGGACCATTTAAATGGATTTTAGAGCAAACGTCCTAGACAAGATATCTCAAAAACTAATCAACTGATATGAATGAAACTCTCGTGAAAGCTTAACCAAGTTACAAGGAAGAATGGCAATTGGCTGAATAGGGTGTACCGCATTTTATATGTACTAACTTTACTGTTTTCGGAACTGATTGGGAATATTTTTAATCTGAATGAAACATTCGTTAAAGTTCAGACAAGTTACAAGGATGAAATTATTTTGTTTTGGGGACGATTCAGGTTAGGGTGTAAATTTTGAGGATCATTTATATTGCTTAATAGTTGCAATAATTCGAATTTCACCAACGTCGCGGAAGTTGTGAATTTGGTTTTCATTGTCTTTTTTTTTATATTTTACTTCATAATCTGATTAGTACTATAAGTATTTTGGGTTTCCGTGTTTTTTTTTTTATAAATATTTTTAACGAATTTATTTTTTAGTTGTTATTTCAACTTCATTTCTCATTATAGCAATGAGTACATAATAAGTTTAGTGTAGTCACTACTACTAATATTAGTATATTGTTATTGTTGTTGATTATTGTTTATTGTCTATGGTCTGTTGGCTGTTGTCCGTTGCCTGCTGTCGCTGCCGCTGTCACTGTTGTTACAATTATGATTAGTGTGAATACTGTTTAATGGAATTGGTTTTATTTCAGAAAAATATCAAGTTAAAGGATGGAAGTGGATGTATCCAGCTTACGTTGTTTGTTCTTTATCTCGTTGGATATGGAGGTAGGCCTATTTAGCTGAAAGAGGTTATTTATTTATTTATTTATTTTTGTGTTGAAATATTGGTATACTAAATAATCAGTACTGTATTAGAAGTAGTTTAAACTGCAAAATAAAATCGCAAAATTAATTTGACATTGACGCTTATACACAGAATGACGTACACCTGCAAGTACCTCACCCATGCGTGATTGGCCTGCACAACGCCTCTGCACAAACGTAGATATGGGGCCAAACTGCATCAGACAAAAAAAGTTAA